AATTCGAAGCCCTTTGCACACTAGGGAATTGAATATTTGTAATAGAGCGACAGCAATAGTGCGACAAAACTAAACTAAAAAGTGCTTAACCAGTTAATACGGGTTCTTAGAATTTTTCATACATGTGGTGGTATTTCTCACACCCATATTAATTTTTCAGAATCAAAATTAACCAAACATCTGTTTGGAAGAGTTGGAAGTTGACAAATGGACATTCAAGGGAGCAGGTACTCGTGATAGTATTATGGCTAATATGCCCCCACGTGTTCTGCTTTGCAGGCGCTAGTTCTCACTAGGAAACGAAAATCTAGATTAGACATATGGGGTATTTTTCTGTATCGAATCATATGATGGAGAAAAAATAATAGATTGCTTAGCCCGGAACTCATACTGAATGAGAGCCACTCAATAAATACTTTTTACAAGCTTTCCTTTGGATATAGATATGCGTATGATGCAACATCGATAATGCGCGAGATGCGCACAATAACTCAAATAGATACGAAAAGTTATTTCCACCGGATATACCAAATGTTTACCATCGAATCAATTTACTATCAGTGTAGCGAATTAAAGTACCTGATTCACACAAATTACATACCCAAACACTTTCTCGATAAAACAATTTATACACTGCTCCGCTCGTTATGTATACATTACAGGAAGATAAGTATAGTTTTTGACGCTGATGCAAATTTTTGGCATAAGGTTTCCACCGGATATACCAAATGTTTACCATCGAATCGATTTACAATCAGTGTAGCGAATCAAAGTACCTGATTCACACAAATTACATACCCAAACACTTTCTCGATAAAACAATTGATACACTGCTCCGCTCGTTATGTATACATTACAGGAAGATAAGTATAGTTTTTGACGCTGATGCAGATTTTTGGCAAAGGGTCCACTCCTTTGTGAGTCTTAGGGATAATAAAGCAGCCTCGCTAAGAAGAGACGCACTAAGGATCCTGCAAAGGACATGCAGCATGAAGCTCATGCGGCCGCAATATCTAATGCCGCTGGCCAATTGTGCGATTTTCAGAAAGAGCTTGATGCACTGCGAATAAAAGTTCATAATACAGAGACCAAGTCTGCACTTCTAGGAGTTGAACACAAAACTGAAATCGATCGAATGCAGAGGAGCTTAAATGAGAAACAACATAGGTTTGACAATATGGCAATAATTTTCAAAACAACTCGCGTGTACAAGATTTCATATGAATATATCTTCGGCGATAAAAAGAAGGCACGTTTCTGGACTGGGTTCCAGACTCCGAGAAAATTCCTGGCCTTGATGCTTTAGAATAGTATTGTAAACCAATTCGCGCAGGAAGAAATTATGTTCCTTTCAGAAATGCAATACTGATGTGTTTTGGAAGAGTTCGTCGAAATCTTGATTTAGGCGTGGTCGGACATTTATTTGGGCTCGACTGGACACAAAGCGTATTTAATGTTTTAAATGATATGAACGCCATACTCCTTGGTTACTTCCGTCATCCCGCAAATGCTCCCGATGAATTTATTTACACCGGAAATTGACAACAAGTTACGTTCACCTTGTTTCGAAAAGAAACATTCGACGACGGCACTGGGAATTGATTGCACAGGTTTATATACACTTTGATATTAATCTTAGTTTATAACACAGATTATACAGCAGGTTATGTGCATCATGGTATATTCGGGTTGGATTGAATACTAATGTACAATGCCTTGATTTTGACCCATTCACATAATTCTTTATCTAGACACCATCAAATCTAGATTTCCAATAAAAAACGTCCAGTTTAAACAAACATCACAGTAATGTTTTAAATGATATGAACGCCATAATCCTTGGTTACTTCCGTCATCCCGCAAATGCTCCCGATGAATTTATTTACACCGGGAATTGACAACAAGTTACGTTCACCTTGTTTCGAAAAGAAACATTCGACGACGGCGCTGGTAATTGATTGCACAGGTTTATATACATTTTGATATTAATCTTAGTTTATAACACAGATTATACAGCAGGTTATGTGCATCATGGTATGTTTGGGTTGGATTGAATACTAATGTACAATGCCTTGATTTTGACCCATTCACAAAATTCTTTATCTAGACACCATCAAATCTAGATTTCCAATAAAAAACGTCCAGTTCAAACAAACATCACAGTACACTTAAAATGCTGACATTGTGTATATGTGTCGCCGTTATATCTTGGGCGGTTAAGTGATCGAGAAATTTCGGAATTGTGCAAAGAGGCATTGTACGAAAAACTGTGGCTTGGTTCTTCTGCGATGGGCGACAAAGGTTTTCATATCGCAGATTTATTGCCTGAGGGATGCACGTACAACGTACCACCAATGCTTCGAAAGGACAATCAGTTTACTGGCAGACCGATAAAACAATCCAAATAGAGCGAGTTATTTGTAGAGCGAAGCTTTTCGAAATGGTTGCTCAAGAAATGCATACTTTAGATATACATTTCTTTATAATCGCTGCCGAAATGTGCTTCTATTTGAAGGACATTGTCTCACCTTTTATGAGACAAGACGCCTAATTATAAATAAGATCGAAAACAAACGCACGCATAACATTTCTTTATTTTCAATTTATTATTTAAATCCTTGCAATCGTCACTATCTATAATCTCATCTATATCACTCACATCACTATCTATATGAAATTTTGCATCATTATCTAGATCACTCAAACCACTTACGCCACTGTCTTGATCGATTCTATATTTAACTTATAAAGCATAACAACATCATCGTACAAAGCCCAGTGACTTTTTTCCATCTCCCACAATTTCCTGGTAGTTCCAGAAAAGACGGGTTGTTGCTGGCTCACGAAATTACTCAATTCTTTCATTGCCGGACATATGTACACCTTTGGAGCGAGACTTGTGCATGGTTTGTCTCTCATTAGTCCCATTACCATGTCCAGAGTGAACATTATCAGTAAAATTATCCTGTCTTTCCGCTATGGTTCGCGAATTTGAGATGATTGTGAGATGTATTGGGCGTATGACGTCAAGAGCCAAATTTCCGCTGAAGAAACTGGATACATCCCAGCCACACGGTTTACTAGTGCATAGTGTCGTGTCGACTTCAGGTATTTCGGAAATTAGTGCGTCATATTTATATATTTCCATATTATTGGTAGCGGCCCAAGTGGATTGTTGCACTGTAGTCCATACTAAAGATGCAACGTGTACACACTTGCCACCTAAACCAAGTGGGCATATAAAATATTCCTTGATCACAATATATTCGCTTTCTTCTCCGAGTAAAAGCTGTGCATATGCTTCCATGAATGATGCTCTTTGAGAGTGTGGGATGTTTGCACATATATGTAATTTTTTCAGTGCATTACCGATGAAGTCAGCGCCAACTTTGATGTTCATCCATTTTATTGACACAAGACTTTCGCCTCGTTCACAAAATTCATAGATGCTGTATTTTCTATATGGGTGGATGTTCGCGAACATTCCTTGAAATACGTTGCAACCCCCAAAAGATCTATCATTGCCTCAAATTTAAAAAAATGGGAATCTGTGCCACATACTACTCTTGACAACAATATACGTACATTTTCAAGCTTCGGAAACATCGCATACACTGTAAGCTTGCAACGGACTCTGTTCACGCGTGAAAGGACTATATTCGCCTAAACAATAAACAGTAATAAGCTCCTTACTTAATGCGATTGATTTTTCTTCTGCAGGACTCTGATCCTCAACCCGCAAGTGTGATGCACTTAGTTTTAGTGACATCAAATACCCAACTATTTCTATATGCATGCACGCTTCTTTGAAGGCCTGTTCTCACTCGTCTTATTTCGTCTGACCAAGTCCCATTTGCAATGACTTTAATTTCTTGTTAGCGCTTAAATCTTCATTCATCAGCAGATGATCACGTACAAATGTAATTATCTTATACAAACGTAAACCACATAAAGCCCTTTTTGCGCTATGCAAGTGTTTGGTATAATGAGGGGCCAGTAAAAATTGGAAATCAAAGATACACTGGAAATTGTTACTCTTGTGATTTTGCTTCTAGAAAAGACAAAAAAACTCGTCAGTACTCTATCATATGGTGCCATCTGACACCAACACGCACACAAGCACGTACAGCAAATAATATCAATTTAGTCTCTATCGTGTTTGCGAACATAATTTATTTGCGTTCGTGTGGATACATTCAACGTATAATATGGTTGTAATATTGAGCTCATATAAACAAAATCTCAAGTATATGTCGCAGTCTGAGTGAAGATCGCTTCAATCTTTCCCACCAGTTCTTTCAGTTTCATCTCTGTCTCAGTGTTCAGCGCAGTCTCTCCTACGTTCTTCTGCAGATCTTTGAGTCGGCTGGTCATATTCATTCTTTTCTCATCAGCTTTCTTACATTTTTTTTCTTGATTCATTGTCTGCATCCGTCATTTGAACCATTATGTGGCTATACTCCTGCTGACAACTTGCATGCTGTATTGATTGTTCTAAACTAGTATACTTCATTGCTGCAGAATTTGCTGTTTCGTAAAGCTTGTAAAAATGCTCTTCGTCGCTGTACATGAGTTCCACCTTTCGCTTAGCCATATCCTTTTTGTCAGCTGATTGTTTCTGAAGAGCAGATTCATGCTCCTCCTGTTCCGCTCTGAGGTTTTCGAGGTCTATTTCGTTTCTATATTGAAATTTATCGATCTTCTCTTGTACTGTCTTCTCCCTTTTTCTTTTGCTCAATGTTGCTATGGTAATATCGGCAATTGCCATAGACGCCGTCAGTGGCACGTAATGAGAAATTGTTTCAAACTGCTGCTGTAAAGCCTCATGTGTAGCAGCTGATAATTGAGCTCCAACCGCTACACCATCTTCATCAGGCGATCATATTAGCACAGTATGTTTAACTACACTTTTCCCTGCTATTTTCACTGCCAGTTCTTGCTTCTTTTCTGTACTTTTAATATCTTTTTGTTGAAGTATATTGCTTTTTACGAGACTTTGTTTGAGTACTTGTGAACTGTCGAGTCTTATGCCTGAAGGGGAGAGGTAGTCTGTGTACACGCCAACCATCTGCCACGATGTCTCTAGCACTTCGGATGGAACACTCGCGAAATGGTTGGAGCCAAAAGATGCATAACTCGAGCTTCAGAGTATGGCTGACTATGAGTAGCACATATAGCATTGATGGTCTGTGTAAACTGGGTGTCTGCCCAATCGCTGTTGTCTAGGTCCGACCAACCCCCAAATTGCCGAAGAGTACGATTCAATGTACAGAGCTCAGCCTTGGTTTGAGGCTTTCGAGCCCGTACCCTTGAGCAGGCGAAAGAGATGTCTGTCAAGCATTTGTGTTAAATTGGTAGCGTGCATGACTTGTACAAGCCAATGAACATGTCTCTCAGCCGACTGGATTCTAAGACGACGATCTTTACCCATTTCGTGCATAGATGCCACGTCCATGCACACAATGTACTTCTTGCTTGGCTTGGGTACGGGGTCTGATAAAAGAAATCGGTTGCATGTTGATCCGCCTTCATATCATAGCAGTCGAAGCAGCAAAATGTATTTCGTGATATATTCAAAACTGTCCAGAGTCTGATAACCGTTCTCAGTTGGCACGACTTCTGTCACAATGGCAAGTTGAGTAGGTATGACCCGTAATATTGCATTTTTCTTGGCCTGATTTGTAGCTTCAGTAGCTGCTTTCTTGAACAGCACTACCAATACAAGTAAGCTACAGCCAAGGGTGATCGGAAAAAGAGTCATACCAGGCCATCCTCTGGGTCCTGGACCTAGTGTTTGACTACGCTTTCGATCACACAGACCAACTCCAGTTATCGACCGCTCGGCCTTCTCTAGCTCCGCACCGAAGCGACACTCGTCCATCTGAAGTATCTGGTTCATTCCTTTGATATTCAGTTTGTCTATTAATTTTTGAAAAGTATCAAAATACAGTTGCAACAACAATGGGTCGGCTGCAGACTGGCGATGAGGTAGCATCACTTCTGCTTTTCGAGTTGTCCAGTTGTTTCGTTCCATGTAGTACCTCAATCTACGCACTGAAGGAAATTCCTTTTCTTTCTTCGTTAGGAGCGTAGTGAATCTGCCATCTGCATTAATAAGACATTGCGTCGACCATTATGTGAGTCGCATAACATCTTTTAATTGAGATTCAGTTAAGGATCTTCCAGCTTCATTTTGAGCCATCACAACTTCAGTTATCCTGTCCTGTGTACGCTGACTCAGAATTGTATTGCGGCCTTATCCAACTTTGAGCGGTATACCTGCCTTGTACTTTTTATACTTCTTGCAAAAGTTTGAAGGCTTAGCATTTGTATTGTTTTTATCATTGAACTCCGATATAATGGTTTTATGTTTGATTTTAGGGTGATCGCGTGTTAGCTATAGATGCATATTTGATGCTACGTTGTTGATGTTAGCCTTTCAACATTGCGTACGCAATGAATGATGCGTTCTTGAGACTTTCATTTTTAAAGATTATATTTCGACCTCCAGCAGAAAACATACACACTTTAAATGTTGTTGGATTTTGCCGTGCCAGATGCGTGATAAGATTGAAGAATAAATTAACACTTGAATACATCAGAAAATCGGAGTCGCTAGCCGCGATGAAAGCACTATCGCCAAATAAACGAAACAAGTAAGCAATCTGGGAATTAGCTTCATAAGGTGCAATATAATATTACGATCTCATGGTCATGCATGTGCCTACACTTACACGGGTGTGTTCTCACGTACGCACACATGTCATGGACAATAGCTTTATACCTTGCGCTGAGGAGCCCAGGCGTGGTTTGTCAAGCTTTTGCTAATCAGCGTGCGCATTTGACTTCTCGTTTCCTTCTCATGGCGTTTTGCTAAAGGTACGTCCCTATCGAGCACAAATATAGATGTGCATTCTAAAGTTGTGGTGCAATTTTAGGAATGCAGCGTTTTTGTGAACATGTAGCGATCTTGCTAGTTCTAAAGCGCTCAAGAAATTATTGCTTGTACAATGTCTGATCGCATAGTGTATGATCGCTGACGCGTCGATATAGCATAATTTATTTCCAACTTGAGCTCTGAGGGCTGAAATATGTGATACTTATTTTTTGATCTGCGTGATCCTAACAGCATCTTTCTGCACACATGTGAGTAGTTGTTGGACATCCATATGGCGAATAAAATGTATTGTATGTTTCGAGGAAGTGCACTACTGTGTATGTCAAATACAATATTTATCCATTAAAAATCAAACCATGTGCGAAAATCAGTTGTCCCCACTTTTTTCTTGAAATTGATTTTTCTCAGGTCTATTGAACAGATCACTCATTGTATACGCGAGACAGGCAGATAGATTCCGATGTTACATTTGTTTCTCGATATGCAACATACCACGACCGCTGGGGAGAATATTTTGCATTGGAAAGGACAAAATAGGGACAATATTATTTATTTCAATTTGGGCAAATTTTTATATGTCTACATGCACATCAGGCTTCATATTCGTTTGTGTGGTTTTGGTAAATTGAAGGGGAAGAACTGCCGTGAGAAGCTCGGGGCGAGTGATGCAATGATGGAGAGCATGCGGTGCGTTAATTCACGACGATGGATACAGAACACCTCTACAATTAAAAATGACCTTCACCGCTTTTTGGAAGGTACAGAGCCTCGTCAATGGTTTTCCAAAACTTATCTGCTGAGATACATGGAATTTCGTAAATATGAGTGGCAATATCGCTGTGGATGTTCTGCTGTTAGACCGCCATCTATACGTATTTGTTTCTGATTTCTAATCCATTAGGTTTTCAGATAATGAATCATATTATATGTATCTGAAAGAGAAAAAGAAAAAAAATATATGATAGCTGATTAGTGGGCTTCCAAATGAACAAATAAACTCGCACAGTGCGCAAATAAGACTCCTGTGCTTGTCAGATAAGTTCAGCTGTTACATTTAGTTTCCTATAAAGGCACTATTTCACGATTATCGGGAAGAACATTTCGTATCAGGCAGGTCGTATCTATGGTCATCATTGATCACCGTAATTTTGAGTACATAACACTCTTGGGATACTGTTCCAAACCATACCTGCTGAAGCGAATGCAATCTTTGTATTTAAGATAAACAAAATCACGTTATGTCTGTCTGGAAACGATGAAAGCATTGAACTAATATGCTCGCAAAGTACAGTGAAGACATTTAGTGTTTTTGGCAAACTGAAAGCATTCTTTGATATTGTTCGAAACCTTTTCTGCTA